CAACAAGGCTGCCCCCCTCGGATCACTCCGGGCTTAGAGGTTTCTAAACGGGTAAAATGCCTCACGTTCAACACAGATAAAGCTAGAAAATTCATTTGTCATCCTTTGGGGGGTTTTAAAAATGCAAGAAATTGACTTTAAAGGGAAATAATCCATCTGTTTCTGGATTATTGGGAAGTGGGGGGTTTAATAAAGGGTCCAGGCTTGGTGTTGGGTTAAAAAACAGCCAATAAATGTAAAGGGTTAAATTTAAAAGGGACTATAAACTTAAATATCTGTACACATAATCAGATTTTGAGTCTAATTTCTTATTCATATTTTATATCATCAACTCATGCCGTAATTTACTTCCTCGCTTTTTTCCAGAACTCAAAATCAGATTAAATGTTTTTTTTTAGACTTTGAACTGCCTTTTTTTCTGAGGGGAGGATAGGAGGGATTGATGAAGAGGAGCGACCTTGGCTAGTCTTTGGTTTCTAGCTGTGCAATAACCAGAGGATCAGGCTGTTCAAAAACACTGGTCACATGATTGTACACATCAATTCTGCGCTGAAAAGAGACGCCTCTAACGTTACTTCTAAGGTTAAAACGGTCCATTGTTTTTTGTTTTCTCCATGACCCCTGCGACCTTGTTGACAATCCTTACAAATCTACACACAGCGTGTCGGCGAGGAACTCTTTTTCCTCTTTCCCTGAAAAATAAAATGCAGATAAATCACTCTTCTCAGACTCGAGGAACCAAAAAAAGAAAAAAGGAAAGCAAGCATTTAAAAACAAGTTATTACAAGTGAACGCAGGAGGAGCGACGGCGAACCGTCCCACCGCCTGTTTGTCCCCAAAAAGCCAGCAGCAGCAGCGTCGTCATTTCAGGGAGGATTTCCGAAGACTTCCGAGGTTTTCCGTGCGGCGTCAAGTCTTGTTGGCCTCGCAGCCGTTATGAGGTATGTAGTGTAGCTCTCCTTTTGAGAGAGTCTGATGAGGTATTCTTGAACATGTGCATTTCTCCAGGTATGAATCCCTTTTCTTTTGTTAAATGAACTGCTTCCTGAGAGAGTCGCCCTCCGTAAAGAGAACTATTGTCGGATTGACATTCAGCATTTTGTGGTCAAGAGGAAGGGTACAATGGGGGGGGGGGGGGGGGCAACACACCTGATTTTGTTATGCAACACAAGCAGGAAAAGGTGGAGACGTTCGCTCTGCTGTGTTTGAGTTGATGTTCCCCCACATTTGTGCGCTACATGTTTAGAGAATTCGGGTGGATGCAAAGATCCACTGAGTGAGTCGTGAGTCCTGAGTGGTCTGAGGGTATGAAGGTTCTATTGTGCTGATCCACAGCAACAGTGTGTGTTCACACCCGAGTTGTTTGGAGGTCACAGTGAGAGTTTACCCGACTCCCCCTGATTGCAACCAGGTTCAAAAACAATATAAAAATAAAGTTGATTCAGGTTAAATAACTACAGCTCCTGAGGTAAAGACACCACTGCAGGTTACTTGATTTGAGGTATTTAAAAGAGAAAACAAAATCATTCTAAAACACAAAATCAAAAAAAAGACGACAAAATGGCAACAAAACAAAAATCGTTCCTAAGATAAAACTTTTCAAGTTCAGTTGTGACGACACCTGTCAGTGGGTTTTGGCTGAGCTGATTGTGTTAAGCATGTAGGATTAGCGTGTGTGTGTGTGTGTGTGTGTGTTGTGTGTGTAGTGCGTGTGTGTGTAAGATGCATAGCTGTGTGTTAGCTGTCATAACGTAATCTCGCTTCTGTGTTCCTGATTGGACAGCCAAGAGGTGGACAGGTTGATGAGGTATTTGTTGTGCAACAGTTTGTTTTTCGTAGAGGTTTTTCTCATTTGACTGAATTTTCTTGCAGGCGGGAGTTATGGCGACCCGTTTGGGGGGGCCTCGGCGGAGCTAGGACCCTTAGAGGAGGCGGGGCTTAGGGTCTGAGGGATGGAGAAGCTGCTGCTGGGGCCGGCCGGGGGGGCTGACATCGGGGGGTCAAACCGGACTTCTGGGCAAACAGGGTTCCTGTGAGGCGAGGAGAACAGTTTCAACACAAGCTCTGTGCAGAACACCTTAAAGCTCTCCTGCTAGACTGTTTTAGGCAGATATTACAGGTCTCAGATACATCGGGGGGAAACACTTTTAACTCAAGGAAAGTGTTTTACAGAACACGTGAGAAGCATTTAGATCACATGCTCATTCACAAACATGAAGGGAAACATCATGACATAAACATGGAGCCTCATTAAAAACGATAGCTGCACATATATTATGTTTGATGGTCATTGCGCCGTCAACTTGCTAAATATCACATTGTGAAAGAACGGTACACTCAGAGATTCTTGCGGTCAGGTTGGAGATCCCAATTAAAGCTTTTAAAATGTAAGTAAAGGGTCTGGAGACCAGAGGTTGCGCTAGACTTTTTCGCTGCCCGTTATTTTGACGGACAGGATCGTAAAACTTCTGTCAACATCCAGAATTACCCGTCGGCCTTTACACAACTCTGACGAGGGGGGGAAAGCATGCTCGTGAACTGTCAACGGGGGGGGGGGGGGAAAGCATGCTCGTGAACTGTCAACGGGGGGGGGGGGGATATTCGGTTAACGCGACCATGTGTAGTTATACTGTGTTAATGTTTACATGTTACCTACAATACTGTATGTTTTACAGTCGTCTGGTAATTGCTCTGTTGTAAATAAGATGTTCTAATCTCAACGGGACATACCTGGTTAAATAAAAGTGAAACAGAAAATGATTGCGTTCAAAGAGAGTAAAACCAGTGGCTTTTGTGACACTTTAACTGTTTGGTTGTGTTCAGCAGTAAACTGAAAACAACACATCTGGTGATCATAGCACACTTAAATATCTGCTTCTATACAGCAAACACTATTGTTTCCACAGTATTCAACAGCATTACATACTCCTCTAATACCAACCTGAGTAGATTGTGCCATTGACCTCCACTGAGACGGTGATGCTGGCGTTCCCATTGGTCGAGATGCTCAGAGACATGTCCTGCTGCTCTTCTGCACAAACAAAGGGATGTTTTAGAGCAGTGTTCCTCAAAGTGTGGTCCGTGAGTATATTGGTAACATTGAAATACATAAATAATAAATTCAAAGTCATTCTCAAATTGTTTAAAAATGACCTGTATATTGGCAACAGAGACACGCAGTCAGTGAGCAATGCTAAATACATGGAACAGTGTAAATAATGAACTTGTGTTTAATGTTGAATTCATGACACTATGAAAACCTTTGACCCTGGTCCACACTGACCTCTGGTGGTGACGGCGGGGTTTACCTGAAGAGCTTTTATCAATCACCATTGTTTTGGTGCAGTTGGTTAGTGTTAGATTAACGTATTATGTGGACATACCGCCCTCTGTCGCACTTTAAGAATTACAACTAGTCAAACCAACACCTGAGTGAACCAGTTCTAAAGAGTGTCATTTAGATACTTTTTGTTGGAGATATTTGCGGTACTGATGTCTGCTTTCTTCCATCATAATGGAGTCAGATGACGCTTTGATAATGGTGCTCAAAGCGCCAAAACAAAAACTGTATATTTTCCAGAAATCATGAGACCTTTTTGTGAGTAGTTTCATGTAGGAACTACTTTCTTTGCAGCGTATCACTGCGCCGAAAGGAGTGATATCTCCAGGCTAAAAACTGCTATTTTCTGCCATTCATGCATAAAAAAAAACGTAGTCATTTCTACAATGGACACAAAAAAAAAAGTGAATTGGTAACGAGAACATAAGCAGGGCTGCACATAACTGGTGCGCAGGTGCGCATGCACCTCGGCCAAAAAAGAGCACCGGGTCATTTGAAAAAAGGGCATTTGCATACCAACATTGAGAGAGAGGGAGAGAGAAGGGAGAAGAGAAAAGAGAGGAGAGAGAGAGAGAGGAGAAATATATGCGAGTTGCATATGAAACTCAGTCGCACTGGCGTTGATTTTCGCCTAGGGCGCCAGATCTGTGGAGGCGCTGCGCTGACAGTCTGGGAGGGGAAAAAAAACATTTTTGACCGTTGGTGCTCATCCTATTTTCGGCCTTTGACGTGTAACAACATTCATAATTAAGTAAATGTAACAC